ACTATAAAATCAATTTTTTTAAGTATTTACATGAATCAAAAACTGGTTCCTTTTTATTTAATTTATTTATTTTTTATTGATTTTCTTTTTTGAGTTGTATTCTCACCAACCCAGTAGCACAACATAATAAAAAATGGTTAGAAGAAATTCCAACAAAAACTACCAAAAATAAAAATAACTGGTTTGTTTTGCTGTGGAAGTCCCCAAATATCGTTAAATATTAAATAACAAATAAGTCATGTGGACCAATCAATTCCAAGATTTTGCGTACATACGTACGTACAGTACGTCGTACGTATGTACCTTTTCTAGTATTCACAAGGATGGATCACCCAATCAAATACATACTTTGTACTCCGTTCCTGGTATAGTTCTGGTAAATATAATGTCAGTAGAATTAATTCAAAACTCTGGTAAATATCTTGGTAGAATTGATGGTAAACATAATTTTGATTTGTAACTACTCTGGTTGGTAGAATTAATTCGTAACTCTGGTAAACATAATTTTGGTAGAATTAATTCGTAATTCTGGTAAACATAATTTTGGTAGAATTTAATTCGTAACTCTGATAAACATAATTTTGATTCATAACTCTGGTAAACATAACTCTGGTAGGACTAATTCATAAACATAATTTTGGTAGAATTAATTCGTAACTCTGGTTAACATAATTTTGGTAGAATTAATTTGTAATTCTGGTAAACATAACACAAGAAAAGTCTCGTCAAATATGTATATAATTGAACAAATTTCATTCTCCGACGGCATCAAGGTGCCGTCAAAAAATGAACTAAGTTTACGATGTGCCAACTTTTTAATGAATTGAACTGTATTATTTTGCTTATGATGTAATGGATTCGGGCCCAGGCAAACTGGCCCATTGTAAACCTAATTTTTAGGTTAAGTGCAATATGAAATTTATAGCGTGTTTGCATGAATCAAAAATCGTAGATTTTCCCTTTTAGGGAACAAACTGGATACAAAAATATAATTGAAAGCCCAATTGTAGGTTTTCCTTTGGCGGCACTCTAATAATCATATCGCTACAAAGACTATTATTTTTTTTTTTAATAGGTTATGATTACAGGGACAAGAGAATACTATTTGATGTAAAGCGATTTAGATAAATACTACTTGGACTACTAGAGTAAACTTGAATTGATTCAAACAATTGAGTGGAAAGAGAATTGACATTAGATGATTTTATTAAAATTATAATTTTTAATAATTCAACATGATAAAAGTTTAATAGACGCAAAAGTTTTTTTTAAATATGAATTTGCTGAAATATACTAATCACATCCCTTAAACCTTGAATTATGCGGGTGTTGGTTTTCTCGCAAATCTCCTTTTTATTGATAAACGAGAATTCTGGATTTTCTACTAAAATTACCTGTGTGAAGGAATATGTTTACCAAAATTAAATACATAATTAAAGCTAATCATAAAAAATCACGAACCAATAAATTTGATTTAAGCGCCAATTTGGCTCCTTGAAGAAAATCCTCTAAAACAACACAATCTTTCAGATCAAGGTTTGCCTTCTCTATCAACACATCATATTTACCAAATTCCTTTACACAATTGTCGTCTCCACAAATGATTAGTGAAAAATTTTTAATCAAATTAACAATATTCTGATCTTTATTATTATTAATTTTTTCATCAAACTCCACACGGGTCGAATTAGTGGCTATCATTATTTTATATCAGTTTTTTATCAAATACTCAACCAGTTCTTTAGCACCTGGCATCAAAGCAATGTCTGTAAAATCAGGTTGATATTTTTCTCGTAAAAGTTTGATCTCATCTGAACTAACGGTCATGCCTGTTGAGTTTAGAATATTAGCCAATAATTTGAAAGATTCTTCGAATCTTAATTCTATCTGCCTTAAATGATAATCAATGTTGTAATCAACTTGATACTGTTTAAATATAATTTCATCCCTTATTATATAAAGAGGCTCTGTATTGATCAACAATCCGTCCATATCAAAAATCACTGTCTTTAACATCTAATGCTATGTTTTCAAAAAAAAAAAACTTTTTATTTGAATTCGAATAGAAATACATTCGATGAAAAGTGAAAAAGTTTTTTTTTTTTTTTAGGTTTAGCTGGTTAAATTTATAATACAAACAAATCTATTTAAAGCAGCTAGTCATGTATAAATTGTGTATTGTAAAATTCAAAAGTGGTCAGACTCTGATCATTTTTAAATTTTACAAGGTGATTTCTTAATTAAAATTTCAATTGTTTTTTATTTCTGACAACCTGCTTTTCAAATCAATTTGTATTGTATTTATAAGATATTGCTTAAAAATATTTTATTAAGTACTCTATTGATTAAAGTATATATACTTAAATCATGTTAAATATGAATTTTCACGCCTTATCTAATATACTATTAGCATATAATACAGTAACTAAAATAACCTGTATAAAAACCAGAAAGAACTGTGCTATTTAAAATCCTGATTCAGAATTTAATGCAACCTTGGATGAAGAAGCAAAACCTGTGTAAACTATGTTAAAATAAATCCATAGACATGTTAATAGGAAGCTTTAATACTAGTATAGAAGTTTTTGACAATAAAATTTCAAACATTCTAAATAAGAATCAAAATGTTAAATCAATATTTGAAGAGTATTTAAAGTTACGAGCAAGTTTTAAGGATAATACATTCTTAAAAGATGGTATTTTTACGATTAATGATCAGACAAATATTAACAACAAATTTAACGAAACTGTCGATAAATTTAGTGACGCAAATGACCTACATGATTTTATTATTGTCACCTCTTTCCAAGATATTATTGCATTTTATAAAGCCATGATAAACCTTATCAAAACTGTCAAATATTTTAGTATCAAAATGCTTGGAAAGTATGAATTTATTAGTAAATAAAAAAATAATTTCCAAGAAAAATTTGATAAAGTTCATGCCGAATTACTAACAAATGCACAAGAATATTTTATACATTATCGTGGGGTATATAAATCAGATTTGTATTTGAAAGCTAAATTTACATTATCTAGTTTTAATGAAATTAAAGAAAAATATAACGAAATATTCTTAATGCTTGATGATAGAAAAAGCTTAAAATTTGCAGAAGCATCAAAATATCAAGATTGTATTTATATTTGTAAGATGCATTTATTAAATAATCAATCCTAATATCTAATTTTTTAATTTATGCTAAAGTCAAAGCTTATAAATTTTTCTAAGATTATCAGTTGCATAACATAAAGTAATTATGTTTGGATAATTTTGACAAAGTAAAAAAATAAATTTTTCCTTTAGTTTATTGCTTAGTTTCTTCTCATTAATTATAAAAAAATTTAATGATTTGCATTTTGTCTTTAACATAATTCTATTTAATTCTATATTATTAT